GTCCAGTTCTGGTAAACAGATTGGTAACGTTCCCTGAGCTGGACACTAATAGACTGCTGGTTTTGGATGATCTTCAAATCCCCATTTGGATTTGGAGACCCTTGAGCTTTCTTCCACCTGAGTGAACTGCAGCATTGGCCCTTTCTTTGATTTCGATTTAACATTGATTTTGGTTCATGCTTACAGCCTAGGCTGTTCCCAGTGGCAATTCGGAAGCTGACTCACAAGTTCTTCCATCATCCCTGCCATGGGGCCAGCAGCCCCTGGGACAGAGGAGAACAAGTAAGAGCAGGAACTCTTCCAGCTCTGCCAGCTTAATTGCTGGAAACATGCCAGAAGCTTCAGACAACTTCAATAGCAGGCCTTTGCTGATCTGACTTATTTTGACAGAAATGAGCTAGGGAGCGCACAGGCAAGCTGCTGTACCAGATCAGTGGGAACCTTCGGCAGCGCAGTAGTGATGAATGGCAGCAACCTCTTCCATCGACACAGGGTAAGCCACAGTTCAACCCATTTTGCTCAGAAGTTGCCCAGTTCAAAACAATTTCTACAACTGATCTTTTCCAATCCAAGCTAATTTTGAGTCAAATGAGTCAAAATGCTGGCTCCTCTGAGAAGGTACGAACCTTAATTCTCCTTTACTGAATTGGAATGTGTTATGTTGGTACAAAAACCTTTGAGCATGTGGATTTTTTAAGTACTTTTTGAACTCTGTTTGCATAGCTAAACCAAAGAGGCTTTCTCTGTAAATCTGGCCTGAAGAAACTAGGTGTCCAGCTTGTAATTAATACGTTAGGTACTCTTAAACTCTGACAGAAATCCCAGCTGCAGCTTCTAGATAGTAAAATCCTCACAATTAAAATATACAAATATGCTTCAGACACCTGTCTAAAACCACTTTGCAGTCATTTTTACCTCTAGGCACATGAGTAGTCCAATGACTTCTGTACAGCTTAAAGGTTGGCAAGATTAAGCTTAAGAAGTCTAGCCAACTGTATAAATATGAATGGAACTCAAATAAATGCAGCAAATATCAAACTCCTACATTTTAGTGAGTTACAGAAGGAGTTTTGAATGGAAACTCATACAATAAAAAATTGATGCTGCAGCCAGCATTTTTGTCTGTTTTGAACTTAAAACTACACCGATGTACACAAGAGAGTTATGTTCTGCTTCTACCCCAAACACACCCTACTATATTAAACCATTGCCAAGTTCTACAGTGAAAGCCTGATCCAAAACTCATCGAAGTCTGCAGAAATATTCCAACTGATTTCAGTGGGCTTTGGAATAGGTCCATACTGACATCCATTGAACTTTATTGAACTAAGCTTTCCTGTGGAGCTGCAGCAGCCAATATGGCCATAATGACTTCGAAACCAAGCTTTAACGCCACACCTAGTCAAATAACATCACAGCAAGTAAATTACAGCGGAATGAACTCATTATTACTTCTCTAGATTTAAAAAAATGCATGTTTTCTGAGCTCACTACGGTATTTTCCAGGTGAAGAAAACTTTCAGTTTGCCTCTGATCCCTCAGAGATTTTTCAGTCTGAGTCACAAACTACTTGTTTATCACAGGCCCCTGAAATAAGTATAAAGTTTGCATGAGGACGATAAACATACCACGCTAAAAAGATGCACAAAAATCAATATATTTGGGAGTTTTGGCTATCTGCTAGCAGCCAACATCAACTACCTAATTTTTTCCTGCCATGAAACTCATATTAAAGTTCCACTGACATCAATAGGAATTAAACATGAGCTTGCCACTTAGGATTTGGCATTCTGTCTTGTCACCAATTCAATTCTTGCTGACTTAATGGGCAACACACCCTTTTACGACAGGTCATCTCACTTGCTTGAGACATTTATTTTCCCACATGAAATGCCATAATTTCAAGGAGACTAGTTTAGGAACAAGGATGTCTGTGTAAATATAAAAGATAATATTATGTTCTGGATTGGGGTGTTATTGTAAGAAATTAGTTGGAAAAGCCCAAAAGAGAATTTACAGTCAAATCCATGGAAAACATTCATCTATTTGAGTAAAGGAGTTTAGTAAACGTCAATGGAAACATTTACTGAGCATTTCCTAAAGTGTGCTTAAATACATCTAGACTACAGATAGAGGATGCCACTTGTGCCTTTTATAATACCAGAGTAGGAGATATTAACCTGGGTTTTAAAAAGGCATAAAGAATTGCATATGCTATTTTGCATTACTCTAAACACACAGAACACTCAACAAGCAAGGTCTTGGGTTCAATAATAATTGTTTCTTCTGCTGATCTGAGCCTTCATTTGATAGCGTGATCTTAAAAATTTCATTAACTTTTCAAGAACCAGATGCAAATCTTATTTCAACCTCTTTAAAAATCTATACTAGTTTGGTGCTTCTGGACAACTCATTCAGTGCCCAAAGGCATATCTATATAATGGCATACCTGACAAATGCCTGCTCACCCACAAGCTGCCTTAGTTCCCTAAATCCTATGCATTTCATTTTGCCCAAGAGGGATAATTCTCAATTGCCTAAACTTAAGTATTCAAATGACACTCAGCGTTCTGCAATCCTATCAAGTAAAGAAATCCCTCTCGCTGCACAGTCCCACTGTCTAATGAAAAGACGTCAAGAAATATGGGAATTCAAGTTAAGTCAAGTCATTTGTCTCTAAAGAATGACTGTGCCTCATGTCCAGCCTCGCTGTTCTCACTGGGCAGATGATGGCAGTTAGTTTGTTAAAATCCTGACTCTATAACCCATGAGAAGAGACAGAGTAAACATCAGCAGAGACTGCTGCAGTGCAAAGAGCACTTATACTACCCTGAGAACTAGCAAGATGAATACAAGAATCACATTGACTACTAAGTGCCTGCAGTCCAATTCTTCCTTTCAAATAGTGATGATTTTGTCCCATCCAGTTGCTTTGAAGCACTCAAGAAATCTGATCTACTGCAATTAAATACCATCAGGATGACTTGAAACCTATGACTCCTACACATTTCTCAGAGCCGATGAAAATAACAACCTAGCCTGTGTTTTTTTCTCTTAAAGATCCTCTCCTTCCCCATTCAGAGATCCAGGCGTCCTCATTTTGCTAGCATCCAGACAAAGGTGCATTTTACAAGTATGCCCTAGGCTGGAGAACTGTTTATAAACCAACCTATGTTCAATCTATTATGCATGCATCCCCCGCTGGAGTATTTGTAATATGACCTCTGCATACCTGCCAAGAGCTGGGCTATCAGTTTGAAACCCAAAGCATCTCTCCCCCTCCTCCTTCCCTCTGCCTTACAGTGATCAATAAAGACATCCGCAGTCGAAGCAGTTGCAGGATCATCTTTTCACACCTGCCCTGAGCCGGGATTTTCGTTTGCAGCCCCAAGCCCCTAGCCCCTGCCTTCTTTCACGACAGACCGAGCCACCCCACCCCCCAGGGCGCTACGGCCCGGGGCAGCCCCCTGCCCACCTACCCGCGCCGCGCAGCTCCCCAGCCCGCAGCCCCTTGGCTCTGCCAACGCTGCCTTTCTGCGCCCAGTTTCCCTTTCCGCAGAAAGGAAAACCCAACCTCTCCCCGCGCCAGGTGCACCTCTTTTTTTGGGGGAAAAAAAAATAAAATCGGACCCACATTTTAAACAAAGTGAGCAGCAGCTTCTGGAATGTGCCTGAGAAGACAGACAGCCGCGGCCGCGCGGGAGGGAGGTTTTTCCTTTCCCCTTCCCCCTCCCCGCTCCTGCCGGCCCGGTCCCAGCCGCAGACCCCCCTGCC